ACCCCCAGTGCAGAGAAAGGAAGGGGTGGGGGCGGGGCACTTGCCCTCTCCTGCTAGCACCCAGGAGCACCGCCAGCACCCCCACCCCCACCCGGGCTTTGAGCCCTGGAACTTCTACTGCAGACCTGGACGAGGGACCCAGGATGCTCTACTCCAGTGGTTCTCAACCTTCCTTCCTAATGCCACGACCCTATAATACAGTTCCTCATATTGTGGTAAACCCCCCACACACACACAACCCCCGCCCAACCATAAAATTATTTTCGTTCCTATTTTGTAACTGTCACTTTGCTACTGTTATGAATCAGGCGACTGCTGTGAAAGGGTCGTTTGACCCGCAAAGGGGTCGAGACCCACAGGTTGAGAACCGAGGCCTCCTGGCCTATAGTGCTTCCTGATGCTGCAGGAGCAGGGGTGGAGGGAGACACACCCTGCCCTGTAACCTTGGGGTTAGAATGAGCGGGCACCATTTTTCTAGGCTGATGGAACAGCACTGGAATAGCAGGTTCAAAATGTGACCAGTAGCCCAGTAAGGCTTGTGGAGCGTTTGTCCGGCCCATCTGCGAAGGGCCTTGAATGTCGACCGCAACGGAAAAGCCAGATGCCTGAGTGCTTCACCAGCGTGGAGGCTAAGAGAGCTGGTGCCTTGGGGAGAAGTGGGTCTCGTCCGAGTGACCGTATTTCGCTCACCTGAAGCTGTAGACAGTGTGTCTGAAAGTCTGTGCTGCTGGAGGACCAGGTCCATGTGGGGTCAGAGAGGGACGCTCCCCACTCCCCCGCTGGGAAAGAGGCAGGAGTTGTGCCTGGTGGATGAATCCGCAGGCCTCTAGAGGGAACCCCTCTCATCTGCTTGGCTGTTTCCTTGGGAGGAGGACTCGTGGCGCCTGAAAGGGAAGGTCCTTTTAGGATGAGGAAAATGGGCCAGGAGAGTTCTTCAGGCAGAATGGGTACCAGCCCAGGAAGATTCCAGGGGGTGGTTGGGTGGTGTAGCCTCTGGGCCTCCAAGTGAGGCCATGGAGGAGTGGGATTAG